ATCGTACCTTGTAATGTCCTTGCATCTGCTGTAGGACACCCACCATTCTACGCACTGACCATACATTACTTCATTGAATTTTCCCAACAATCCTTGGGAGGGAGTATTATAACCAATCCTATATTATAGAGGTGGAAGCTAAAGCTGCCAAGTTTGGAAAACTTGCCAAAGTTGCCTAACTAGTCAATACGGAGTCTGAGGAGAGGAAGGCGATGCAGGCTGTGTACTAGGGAATTTGTTCTTTTCAAAAGCGATCACATTGCTTCTCCCACCCCAAATGAAGGATCAAGGATTCTGAAACTAACCAAATTCTGCTTCAGCCAAGCAGGAAGGCTTGGCAAGGCATGCCAAGTTTTCCTTGAATGCTTTTTGACCCCTGTTGACCGGTTATCTCCAACACATCCTCTTCCCTCTGGGGGAGTTGTGGCTACTCACTCTTGAATCCTCCTGTATGATTTCAGGTTAATGACAATTATGCCTCGAGCAGTCCTGCCGGGCATGACTGGCCTGCACTTGGACGGGAAAGAAATGGTCCAGCTGTTAGGCAGGGAGGCTGCCTTAAGTATCAACAAGCTGTCGAAGAGGCAAATACTTAACATGTTTTGTTTCTAGAAACCTAAAAAGGATCCATTTCAAGTTATTTTTAGTTCCATGAGGTTAAAAAGGAGAATAAAAAGCAGAAAGAACACAAATTCTCTCTTCCTCTATAAGCATCTCTTTAAAACCGCCGAATTTGTCCCCATTTATCCAGCAGAGGTCGCTCTTTCCCACCACACTCTTCAGAGGCCTACTTGTTTGTCTGAGCCCGGCTCCACGCGTTTAGCTTCTGAGGCTGCAGAACGCAGAAATTTGGCAAAGACATTCTGGCCTGGGAGACGGAGGAGAGAAGAATCCGTGGCTCGGGAGGTGGGATTGCAGTGTGTGGGAAACAGATATTTTAATAACGACGGTGTGTGAACAGTGGGCTTCAAGTCTGTGTTTTAAATTTTTCACTGGGATAAATCAGTCAGCTCCTTTTGCAAGGGCTTTAACTCCACTTCGACTATTAAACCTATGTGCCTTCTGTGTCTCTTTTTACGTGTTGTGATCAGGCTGAGCAAATAGAGACAAGCTATGTGCGTTTCCTCTGGGCCATTCTCAGCTGGTTATCTCCTCACAGTATCCAGGCTGGCCTCGAGGACCAGGCCAGGCAGTGGTGGGTGTGCTTGGTGACTGTCCAGTCTCAGTGGAAGTTAGTTGGTCTTTAGCAGTAGCAGCTTTCTCTTTCTGGAACTCAGAGCCAGTTCACATGGGCTGCCGGGTCAGGTCCCCATCTGTGCGTGCGTGAGGAGAAAGACATGGTCTTCCCACCTCCCCACACTGCAGGGCCTCCTTCTGGGACCACAGAGAAGACAGAATGGGCATCGGGCTGCCCTTTTCCAAGTTCTGCTGCAATACTGAGGGAGGCAGGGGAGGGGTCTGGTACAGAGGGAGGTGAGCCCATCAGGAGGTGACCGCATCAACAGAGACGTGTTACAGAGCTACAGCATTCACTTTGGACAGCTCTAAGCCTCTCAGTGGCTGAACATTTATATTGAAGTCCAAATTTTATTTATTTATTTAGATAGTTTAGGTTTTGTTTTGAGAGGAAGTCTCACTATGTAGTCCAAGCTGGTGTTGAACTTGTGATCCTCCTGCCTCACCCTCCTGAGTACTGGCACTGTAGTCACGCACCACTGTACCTAATGATGGAATATTTAAGACTCATTCTGCTCTCTCTTGAGCACTCTTTCCATATATATAAGTGGAGACTTTTAAAAACTAGACTTTACGTTTAAAGTAGTTTTAGATCCTCAGCAAAACTGAGGGGAAGGACAGAGAACTCTCTTACACTCCCCTCCTTGCTCCCCACACCCCCTTCTGTCGCATTTCCCACCAGCGGGGCATTTGTTAAAACCCGCGAACCTGCGCAGTTTCCACCAGAGCCCGCAGTGTGTGTTCGAGTTCGCGCTTGCTGTTGTGCAGGCTGTGTCCGAACAAAAGCATAACCACGCGTGTCCCAACGGTGGTGTCACACAGAAAAGCGCCACTGTCCCGAGAGTCCTCTGTGCTCTGCCCGTTCATCACCCCCTGCCTAACCCCAAGAAACACTGATGTCTTACAGTCTCCGCAGTGTTGCCTTCCCAGAACGCCACACAGTTTGAATCACCCAATATGTGGCCCACTCGGATTGGCTTGTCCCTTAGTAATATGCATTCAAGATGCCTTTATGCGTTTTCATGTTTCAGACGTTCGCTTTCTCTATTGCTGAATAGTATTCTGTTGTCTGGATGTATCAGAGTCTATCTATGCACCTACTCGGAGCCATCTTAGCAGCTCCGAAGCTGTGGCAATCATGGATAAAGTTTCATTAAACATCTTTGTGCAAACTTTAGGGGGACACAAGTTTGCAGTGCACTTGGATAAACAGCAAGTACTGCGGTTGCTGGATCAAATGGTGAGCTGCGTGTTCATCAGGCCTGGACACTGTTGTGCTGATACTTTACCCTCACAGTAACAGAACCAGTGCCTTTTCCTGTTTGGATCTTGCACTGGGGCGGATCAACCGCTCCTCTGCTCCTGGCTGCGGCACCCATTTGGAAAAGGATGAGCCGCAACCCTCAGGGGAGGTACAGCTGTAGAGAGGAAGATGTCATTTCTGCCAAAGCCTCTTCAGCAGAGAGCTGTGTGGGGATAGATGGTTTATCCAGAATTATTATTATCATTATTGTTATTATTATTATCATGAGACAGGGTCTCACTGTGTAGTGTAGGCTGGCCTTGAACTCACTATGTAGGCCAGGCTGGCCTCAAATTTGTGGAGATCCTCCTGCCTCAGCCTCCTGGGATGACAGGCATGGCTACCACATCTGACAATCCAGAACTGGACTCCACCATGTGCAGTAAAATATGTTGTTGACAGTGACGGAGTTTCCAATTTCTTGTTGTCTGTATATACCGAGCCACTGAACTAGATGAGTTTGAACTTCACTTTCTGGGGAAAAAGTACTGTTTGCAGGATGGGGTTGGTGGTAGTGCTTTACTGGCTGATCTGATGGTCAGTTTGAGGGTCAGTGTAGAATATTTGTCGAAAGAGTTGGGACTTCAGAGGTATGGGCTCCCTCATGTGGACCCCTGACCTGGTGCCCCGGTGATGGGTTGGCAACCAGGATGGTGTCTGGCCATCAAGCACACGTGCTTCATTAGTTCCCTTACAGGTTGAGCGGTGCCAGTCTATCTAGCTCTTTATGCTCCTCTGGCCTCCCTGTCCTTGGCATCCTTTTTCTGACCAGCAAGCTTTTGATTTTCAGCAAATAGTTTTCCAAAAGATAAACCAATTCCAGATGATGTTGATGGTTGAGGTAACGCGCTAAGTGTACAAATGGAACACCATGGGTAAGCGCTACTTGATGGATAAGGTTCCCGGGACGGCTGGGCCAGTCACCACTGTAGGAATGTGGAGATGGTGACGTCGAGGGGACACTGAGGTTAGATGAAAATCAGTGCTGGCAGGAAGTCACGCTTACAGGAGCTTAGGTGGGTCTGACTCATGTCATTAACATTCCCATGTCTGTCTTTCTTTCTTCTTTCTTTCTTCCTTTTAAACATTCCCACTTCTAAGAAACAGACTTCTACACTACTCTGGTGAGACACACTTTGTGATCTCCACAAAGTGACACAAGGTGAAATCACAGTGAATGATTATGTCCCTACCACACCGATGAAATCATTTTAGAATTGTAGAAAAATAGGTCCAGGTAAGAGAGGACAGCCTGTCAATGCGGGCACTCCCAAAAGACCTCTACTAGCACCTGCGGGTGAGTGTTGAACTTTACCTGCTCTACTGGAGGGTATTTTAAAATCCCCAGGAGCCAGATGCTCTATTGTTTATTTTTCCCATTCAATTCCTTCCAGTCATTCCACCCAACAGTCGACAAACACACTTTCAAAATGTTTTGGCTCTTTTCATTTGCACAAATTCTGAAGGAGCTGTGGTGTACACAAAACATAGGGGGAGACCGAGTGATAAGAATTAAATACTTATAGTTTGTGCTCATGTAGGGTTTTGGAAAAGTCTATGCCCTGGGAGACTTCGCTTTGGCAAGTCATTGTTTAATTTCATTCATCACATACTTTCCATTGCCAACTCTTATCGGATACAATATCAGAGAGAATCTTTCAGTGACTAGGACATAGTTCCTGCCCATACAGGGTTGCCAGGGAAGGAGGGAGATGGAGCATTTCACTGTGATAGGGAGGTCTGGACTGGTGGGAGGGCAAGCAGCTCAGCACCACAGCTCTCCGGTGTTACACCTGAGCTCATTTTAAAACAACCAGGAGGAGCCAGGCAGGTGGATAAGGGGCCAGAAGTCCAAGAAAGCATCTCCTGGCCCCAGAAGACATGAGTGAAATTGCAGACACTGCTGGTACCCAAGAGGAAGGAGGGTCATTGAAGACATGAGGCTGCGGAAGCAGCTGTGAATCAGCTCACGAGCCTTGGACTCTACGCTCCAAATAATGGCAGATAACCTCCCATGGCAGGGTTTAAGCAGATATATTTTTAGAAGCTGACTGTAAGGGTTATGTGGGAGATCATGACTTAGAGAGAGGAGGACCAGAGTCAGATAATGACTGAGATCATTTTGTCACAAGTTCGTGAATTCATGAGTATTAATAAAGCTTATGAGTCAAGTGTCTTTTACAGGTAAACATGTTGTAAGAGGCCTTGGTATTTGTCCGGTGAATCAAAACACGCTGGGAGGAAGACCTTGTCCATCACGTCTAACCAGTCTCCCCGGGAGACTCATCCCACGAAGATATCAAACACCACCTGTTTCTGGGAGGGATTTGGGGAACAGAGGAAGCCCTTTCCTTCCCCACCGTATATCTTCTCACTGCTGCTTGCAAACTCTTCAGCGCAAGGACCAACAACACAACACTTGCACGAGCCTTACTTTTTCGTTCACGTTTGTTGTCTGGGTGCTAATGAGTCTGAGTAAGAGAACAGATGGAATAATATGAGGAGCCTGTGCTGGTCATTTTCTTTTTGCCCCTCGGATGTATCCTCTGCCTGCTTCTTGCCCCTGGAGGCTGACGGGCGCAGGCTGCACTGCCAGATTCCTTTGCTGAATTCTCGCAGGCGTCTCTTTGGTTATGGGTGGGAACAGGTCCTGCTGGTGACAGTGCCTGGGCTCTCTCCTCTCCCTCACTAGCTCCTACTACTCACCCACACCTCACTATGTCGCTTCTTCATGTATTTAATTCCTCTCAGTTGATGGTGCGAATTCTCTGCCGTTGCTCTGCGGACACGGGTCACTTCCTGCGTGTGCACCACACTAGGCATAGTATATCAAGGCCCTGCATGAAGGTCAAAGATGGAAGAAATAAAGAAAATACTGGGGTCACAGGTGACCTTCTCCCCAGTGCTAGATCTGCCTCCCTCCTCTTCGGTTTGGGCTCCTTTTCTGCCCCATGCCTCTTGTCTGCAGAAAAGCTGGCCTGAAAGATCTGGTTTGAATTTATGCTTAAAAATTTTCAAATTGATTTACATGCTTCAATCTGTCATTCGTAACCACTCCCTCAGCAGTTATGTCTTGTCTAAGCACGTGACTTACTAGACCCATCATATGCGAGGGAAAAGAAATACATCGGTGTTACCTTAAACTCAGTGTAGAACAGTCTTTAAGGGCTAAAAGGCTGCCACATGCTATGCCTCAGGTACAGCAGGTTTACCAGAGTTTTCTTTTGTGCTTCAACAATAAAGAAGTTGGTGGTCTGCTGGCTACAGCCAGTTACACATTCTTTGGTTTTATTAGGACAACCATAAGCCTCTAAGACCCACCCTGATGTCAGCAGCAGGTTTTATAGAAGGCTCACAAGTTTCTTCTTGTTGCATTTGGGGTATATAAAGTGTGAGGCATAATGGGGAACAGGTTGGAAGACCAGTGGAGGGCTGACACACGTACTGATGTGAATATTTAATAACTGTTCATTGCAGGCAAAGGTTGACGACCAGATGCTGGTTTCTACAGCTCCAGAGCCCACTAAATCTCCAAGCTTCTCCAGGAACAGGCCTGGGACTGGCAGTTCCCTCTGCCATTCCCAACCCCCTGGAGGTCAGGACGTGCCTCGTTGACTTAGCAACGCTGTCGAGGAGCATTTGCTGGAAACATCTCATCTGTTACTCCATGGCCAAGTGGCTGATTGCTTCTGGCACAGTCCTTCCCTAAGATAATAGGGAAGAGTGGGCTTTAAGTATAACTGAAGCAAACTCAGACTCACCCCCGCAAGTAACGCCATGCTGGCGTGCTGCTTCTTTTCACACCGTGTGAGGACAGGGGACCCGGGCCATCACCTGTGTGTGAACCACAGTTAACTGACACTGACCTAGCTTTGCACCCATGAGCTGAAAACACCCTGATTTGTCAGGTTCTAGATGTCGTCCTTTGTCCAGCTCTGCTCTGACCAAAGCTGGTCTGGGAATTGCATTGTTTTGCATTTTCACAGCAGAAGTTTCATGACAGAATGCTCCTGGGGTCACCTGGTGCCTCAACTCCCTGGGTCTGGGGGCGGAAAGGGGTTTGCTGTCTTCTGCCACATGCTCCCATCTTTCCAGTGTGCTGCAGAACCAGGCACAGTGTTGGGCTGGTCTCCACATCCCCACTCCCTGCACAGAGTAGAAGCTAATGTTTCAGAGAAAAGGATTTTATACAGTATTTTAATGTCTAGAATGAGTTGTTTTCTTTTTTAATTTTCTGAAAAGGATGCAGATTTATGTTGCCATATCCTACTTAATTTTTTTTTTTTTTTAATTTCTCCTAAAATAAAATGTGAAAACCATTAGCAAGATCTACCAGGCCATGTGTGCCCGGACCCTTGTCTTATGTGAATGTCCCCTTGTTATGGTTTGTGTTTGGGTGTCCCCCCAAAGCCTCATGCGGTCATGGGGCAGGCCTTTAGGGTTTGATTGATTATGGGTGCGAGAGCTACACCCGCCCTGGGGTGGATCATTTGCATATGTAAGGGAGAGGAAGAGGCTGCTTCTGGCCATTTCCTCCCTTCTGTGTGTTTGTTGCTTTTGCTGTGTTCTGTCGCTATGAGCTGTCGCCCTCTGCCATGTGCCACTCTGCCTTGTAACTTGCCAAGTACGGACTGAAACCTCCACAAGCTGTAAGCGAAATAAACTTTTCCTTCCTTAATTTTGGGTGTCAGGTAATTTGTCCCAGCAACGAGAGAAAAGTAACCAAGACACCCCTCACCCCAGGCTGTAGCCACCCTGGTGAACTTTCAGTTTCTAGAATTCACCATTCCTCAGGCTCTTTGAACATGCTATTCTTTCCACCAGGAATATTTTCCTCTTTCTTTCCTCCAACTTTGGATTTCAGCTTTAAAATCACTTTGTCAAGGAAGCCTTCCCAGACCCAGGCTTGGTCAAGTTCCCCTGCTGCTGGGTCCCCTAGGTTTCTCGGCAGAGCCTGTTGTCACTGGAAGCAATTAATTCTTGATGTAATTACTTATTCAGTGTCTTATTCCCTCACTGTAAACACGAGGAGGTAATGGATGCTGTATTCTCAGCGCTTAGCTAAGTACTAGGCATAAAGACCAACGTCTAATTGTTGGATTAATTATTTAAAAATGCATGCTTATTATGAAACAACTTACAGAAAGTACAGAAAAACACAAAGGAGAAAATTAAAACCATCTTTACCCCATCTCTCATAGATAACAACTATGAACATTTTAGTGCATTTTCATATGGTCTTTTCAGAAAACAAACATATGTGGGGCATAAGAAAGCATTACCTACCAAAGGCTAGATCCTGTGGCCGTTTAGAAAAGTTCTTTTAAACAGACCAGGCTCCCACTGTTCAAAGTGGCTGGGGGCCGGGCGGAGGCTTTGAGCCCAGCTCCCGTCCCTGGTTGTCCCTAGGGCGGGAGAGGCATGGGAGATGGGATTAAAATCAGTTCCCAGGAGCAAACCTGGGGCTCTTCTAACCCTACTCCACCATCACTTTAGTATTTGCTTAGGTCTCTTAGTGAAGTAAGAGTTTCTTAAATATTTGGAAATACGTTGCCTCATTATTTGTTTAATTTTTCTGAAAAAAAAAAAAATTTTCTGGCTGTTGCTGTTGTTGCTCTTTCCCCTGATTCATATTAGAGGAGACAGTTTTCAGAACTGTGGAGCCAGAATGCCAATTCCTAGTTCTTTTGTGAAGAAAGGAGTGGCTGGAAATAGGCTAGGGAGAAGTGGATATTCTCCACTTCAAATGATGGTGAGATTTCTTTGTAACAAATGCCTGTATCTCACAGAACCCATTTCTGTCCCTAGGCCACATCCAGAGTAGAAAATGTTATTAATTCCATCTTATAAGTGAGGTGAAGTGGCTTGGAGATGCCATGGAACTTGCCCATGGTCGCATAGTAAGTGTGTGGTTCAGGGATATAACGGAGTCTGCCTGGGTCCAAGGCACAGACTGTCAGCCGCTGTACTACACCACCCAAAGTGGTTCCACCAAGTGGATCAGCGATGGGACATCACCGAGCCTTGGAAGCTTATGAACTTGTATGCAAATTTTGTGTGTCTGCACAGATTTGTATTTTTTTTCTGGGGAGAAGGTCTCTCCATTTCATCAGATTCAGAACAAGAAAAATAAAGATCTATCTAGATTAGCAAATTAGCATTTGTTAATTGGTTACCAAGTACAGGGTTCTAAGCACTTTATGTGTGTTGAGTCCTTTCATGCTGTCAGAACTTTTTTTTCTTTTTTTTGTCTTTTTGAGACAGGGTCTCGCTGTGCAGTTCAGGCTGGCCTTGAGCTCACTTTGTACCCCACGCTGGTCTCGAACTCGCAACGATCCTCCTGCCTCAGCCTCCCGAGTGCTGGGATTACAGGTATGTGCCACCACGCCTGGCCAGAACTCTTTTGAGATAGATGCCACTAATGCCATTGTGAGGTGAACAAATTGAAGCACAGAGAGGTTGTCACTTCCCAAGGCCAATGGCATTCCAGTGTTCAAGGGATCTCATCCAGGGGTCTGCTCCAGAACTTGTGCTCTTGACCATAGAAAACCAGTGCCCTCCTTTACAAACATTTCAGTGCTAATGTGTGTTTTCCTGCCTCTGACTTGGTCTATATTTCCCTGCTGATGGGTATAATCAATTATACTAAATTAAATTGATGGTGGATCTTCTAATAGAAGATATCCTGGCATAGAGGAAATAGGTAACTCCTTTCCCCATCAGAACTAATTATAGTAGTGATACACATCTATTCATACTTACTTTAATAAAACTGTGTTTCCTAAGCAGGGTGTGGTGGTGCATGCCTGTAATCCCAGCACTCAGGAGGCTGAGGCAGGAGGATTGTTGCAAGTTCAAGACCAGCCTGGGCTACAAAGTGAGCTCAAGAACGGCCCAGACTGCATAGCGAGACCCTGTCTCCAAAAGATAATTCTTGATGGGCCTGGGTTCTGGGCCCTTTTTGTGGGAGCAGGGACTGGACAGAAAAGGGGGCCCACTAAAGCCTTTGTATGTGTGGGGAGACAGACTTTGCATTCACCTCCGTAATGTATGCATTTGCGAATACACACTCCTACTACACACACAGACCGAAACACAATTGACTTGTATATATTAAGATGAATTCAATTAAAAATACCTGACACTTTTTCTGTACTTTTTGAGAGACTGAAACACAACCTAAACTGTTCCCAAATGGCTCCCTGATATTACTGTGCTTGAGGACTGGGCACACTTTACAGTTTTTCTTTTTACAGACGGAAAAACAGAGCTATGGGAGTTGGGCTCCTTGTTCGGCAGGTCCTAGGGGATGTAATATAAACCTCTGAAGGGAGTTATGACTTTATTCTCCCTGCTGAGGAATTAACGTTTCCCTGATTAAGTGAAACAACCGTCTCCAAGATGGGGACTGAGTCTATCCCAAGGCCCAGATGAGATGAAAGACAAAACAGGAAGCGTGTGCATCAGAAGCAAGAGGCCCCAGCGCGGGTGCGGGAGAAAGGCCTGGAAAACGTGCCCTAGGTTGGCTTTGGAGAGAGGAAGATCTTGTACCTTTTTTTTTTTTTTTTTGAATGTGAAAAATCTTGGCAGACTCCTACTTTCAGGCCCATTAAAATTCAGGAAAGGAAAAAGAAAAAAAAAATGAAATCATTTTTAAAGAGGAAAAAAGACAACAAACACGCCCACTCTTGCAAAAATAAAAACCCACCCCAAAAAGCCTTTATGAAAATGTTTTTGAGCTTTGAAAAACAGAAGGGGGTTGGAATGTTGATGAGGCCACGGAGTGACTATTAAATGTGGCATTCTACAGCCCTGGGCCTGTTAAGTTGACCTTGCTCCATTGGTGGAGAGAAACAACCCTCTTTTCTTCCCAAATGGAGAGCCCATGTTTGCGGATGGGCCAGGTCCCCCGTGAGTGGTGTGGAGGGGTGGGGTGCAGGGGACACTTTGTTCTCAGGCAGTGCCTGCAAGCAAGACCCTCCCATTCTGGAGAAGTTTCCTTTCCATCCCCCTCTCCGGCGGCGGCGGCGGCGGTGCAATCAACAGTCCCGCCAAATTCTTCCTCCAGGCTCAGATTTCGGTTATATAAACTGTTCTAATCAAACAGCCTCCTTCCAATCCAGAATAGGGCTATTCAGAGGAGCCATCGACAGGATCAGTGGGTGGCTTAGTAACCAAAGCCCAGCCGCAAATGATGAGAAATCTGCTCCGCTGGCTCAGGTGCCGGGGTGAGCGCCGGCGGGCGGTTCCCTGGCTTTGAACTTGCTGATGAAGGCATAATTTGTTCAGCAGCTAAAAGGCTCCTTGCCTTTTTCACCTGGAGAAGCCAGTCCTTGCTGCTGTCTGCCTCCAGGTTCTAGCGCCCCAACGCAGTGCACTTTACACCTACCCCTCCCGAGTGAAATCTTTCAGGGCAGTGATGCTAAATGCTCCTCCGCGGCTGGGGCGTTCCCACTGCTGAACCCATCTACTTTGGAGCGTTCGGATTATTTCCGTTTGGGGGAGTACTATAATTATTCTGCGAGGAACGTTCTCTTATATAAATATTTATGCTACTGTTCCTATAAATTCCTAACAGTGGAATTTCTGAGTCAAGGAGATGCCCTTTTGGACGGCCTTTTGCTACACGTTGCCAAATTGCTTTGCAGAAAGGTGAATTTTCGCTGGCCTCAGACAGTGCCCAACGTTCTAATCAAAGCCATTGCATCATTTTTAAGTGAATAAATAGGAAAGAAAAAATGCAGGTGGAGATAAAATATAGAAAATAAAGTATAGGAAAATAAAATGTAGAAAAAATACAGAAAATGTTTGGTGATCCCTGTATTCTCTCATTTGCTAGTAGGGAAAAAAAAATCTTGAAAAGACTGAAATATGACTGAATGTCTGATGTGATGGGTTCACCTCCTACCCAATATTACAAAGTCTCAAATTTTTCCTTTTCCTGTGTCCCCCCCTGCCCCACAGACTCCAGCTACAGCTTTTGGTCATGTCCCTGAAGGGCACGGTGAGATGCACAGACTCCAGCGACATAGCAGAATAGAACTTGCTAGATGAGGAGAAAAGAGGCTCAGGTTCCACGCTGTCAGCAAAAAGCTCCCATAAACGGAGGGCAACACATTAAGCTCTTGCTGTTAATATGCTGTCTAGACTTTAAAAGATTGCTTTTCTCTCTGTCTTCTAGGCTTCAACTTTTGACCTTGCTTCTGCCCTTGTATCTGTACAAATGACCGGACGCACCATTTCATCTCTCCTGGGGGGTCCAACAGCCAAATGACTTGTCACCCAAACTGCTGCAGTGATCCAGTGTGGACCTGATCCCAGCTTCCTCTCTGGCCTGTGAGGCCAGATATGCAGGTGTTCCCCATCCTGCGGGATAAGGTAAACGGAAAGGTCCCGCAGACTCTAGAGCAGATGGCCTACCTCTTGCTGATTGCGGATGGACTCCTGGAAGGTACTTTCTTAACTAGATTAACACCAAAACATAAAATTATACATACAAATGAGGTACCACATTATGTTTTCCTGCATGAATACATTATGCACCTGCAAGGTATCTGAGAGAGGCTTAGGGAAAAGTTCGTAGAGGCCACACTTGGGGTAGAAACAAATTGCTAGCAAAATGATTTTGAGTCTTTGCTTTTGAGTGCATTTTACTCAGGGATGTTTTCCATGCCCTCCACACGGCCCTTGTGTTAATGTCTGGCGGGTCATGTCTTTCTTTAACGTGTACTATAGTCTAACTTGTCTTAGGCACTAACATGAAAATGTCCTCACTTAAAGCCGGGTGTGGTGTCACATGCCTCTGCTCTGGGTGGCTGAGGCAGGAGGATTGCAAGTGCAAGCCCAGCCTGGGTAATTTATCCACTCGGTGAGACTCTGTCTCAAAATAAAAAAAGGGCTAGGGGTGGAGATCAGCGTGAAAGCCCTGGGTTCAATCCCCAGAACCACAAAAAACAATTTCATTTAATCCCCACAACTGGAAACTTATGAGGTGGGTACTCATGATCATCATCATTATTATTATTATTGTGCCTGCTATGTAAATGAAGAAACTGAGGCATCAAGCAGCTATGAACCTTGAAGGTAACAGACTAGGAAGGGTGGCAGCCTGACTCTTAGAACCACATGCTTAACCCATATTCTCCACTGCCAGTCCATCTAGATTCTTTTACTCTAAAATTTTCTTCTCAACAACCAAAATAAAATAAAAATAAAAATACATAAATAAATACCACTTGTCCTCTTATTTGGGCTAGTCTTTCTGAGGTAATGAGATTAACCCAGTTTATGTGTGTGCGTGGTACTGGGAATCGAACTCATGACCTCACGCTTGCAAAGCAAGCACTGTGCCACTGAGGTACATCCCCAGCCCAACTAAATTAATCCAGAAATGAAACGTAGGCTGATAATGGCAGATCCTGGGAGAAGGCATTTCCCACCTCAATCAGTTCATAGTTGAAAAAGCCCCGCAGTGGTGGCAGCCGAGGAGATGTCAGAAGGACTTGGTGGAGGGCCCTGCAGACGTGGGGGGCTGCTGAGGTGGGTAGAACATTCTTGGGTGGGGAGACCTCCCCTGTCACCAGCCAGCGGCTCACTCTGCTCATGGGACAAGACACCCTCTGACATACAGTTTAAATCTGTGTCAGGAACGACTGTTCAGATGTTTGCCTTTAGGATGAAGAGAGCAGGGTCTTCAGAGAACCACGGCTGTCTGCCAACTACTGCCAGACATCGCCCCAAGTGGGAACCCCAGGATTCCATGTTCCAGCCACAACATGTAGTTTTCTTCCATATTTTTATGATTAAGGCTCACAAAAGGAATACGACAAGTTGCCCCACACAAGTCTATCTGTCACCCCAATTGATATATCATAAACCCACATCAACTTGTCACATCCTTTTTATCTGATTGGCCCTCAACATCCCACAAATACTTTCCTCTCCTGATTCTCTTTGGGGCCAGGGCGGTTTGTGTCAGAGAGAAGATGACTCTCTGGAAGGTGTGGCCGAGGAATAATATGATCTTTGGCTTGGCGATGTATACTTTGGTCCTGGAAAAATGTATTTAAAAGATTTTAATGAGTCATGAAGGTAGTGCTGACATGTAGAACAATATTTTTCATGCTCTTTAAGATGAATAACTATACCGAGCCTGGCTCAGAATGGAGGCCAATAAATGCCTATTGGTTTTAAGAACAGCTGAATACTGAGAACTCAACACAGCGTAATTCACCCACAGCTAAGACTGTGCTATAGCAGAGCTGAAGTTTTAGCAGTGTCCTGCCAGACTTGAGGAAAATGAATTTTCATGTTGTCAGTTAGTTCTACAAGCCATACTAGTTGTCCTAGGTATTTTGCTTCTCATTAAAAACATTCCCGCTATGGAGATTATATTTCTTTTTTGTCAAGAACATTTTTTTGTGTGTGGTAATAGGAACTGAACTCAGGGAGGACTGACCTACATCCCCAGCCATCTTTCACATTATTTTGAGACAAGGTCTTTCTGAATTGCCCAGGCTGCCCTCAAACCTGCAATCTTCCTGTTTCGGCCTACTGAGTAGCTAGGATTACAAGCATGCATCACCACTCCCCGAAACTTGCAAGAGTATTTATATATTTTCATCAGAGTAGGTTGTTTTGCCTTGTTGATGTCTATAAAATGAACAAACTGAAGGGGAGTGCTGCTGTAACAGACACTTCCCCATATATCAGTAGAATTCGCTCTCTCACAGAACTTCAAAGAATTCACAAATATTAGAATGCTCACCGTGCTGCTCGCCCTGTACAAAGGCAGAAAGGGAGATCTGTGCTCCCCTGACTTTGTGTGCAACCACCTGGGCATCAAGAGCTGCCGTCTTGATTCCATCCGATTCAGGCACAGAGTGTTTCTCGAGCAGGCTGCTCTGCTGGGGGCTTATGCTGTCATCTCCACTTGGCGGGGGGTGGTTCAGAGGCTCCAGGAGGCAAAATGAATTTCTCAAGCCCACAGCTCAGGAATCAGTGCTGAAACAAAAATGGAGTTCAAGGCTTTTACTCCCTGGTGGAAAGTTCCAGAGCTACAGCTACACAGCACACATGTAAGTACAAGCCGGTGTGTGTTCCTCTGCCCCCAGCCACTGCCCATCCCGTGAGATACATGCCATCTCTCAGGACTCAGCTCCAAACAAAATCCAGTGCAAAGCCATTGAAATATGGTGGAGAGCACATTCCCCTCAGAAGGAGGCTGTGGTGCTCATCACCGTCGAGCCTGCTTTTGCCGCAAAGGGCTCTGGAAAACATGATTGAAATGAGGGTGTGAAGCCCAGTTGTCCGGTAAGTACAGGATGTGCTTCTGAGAATGTGTGTCCTGGTGGGACGCCAGCTCCCCGGAGAAAGTTGCAGCCAGAGGACTAGCCTTAGGAAAGGCTTGGTGTTCTTAAAGGACTTGCCATTCTACCAAGGACAGAATAAGAAACATTGTAGACCCTTTGAGTGCAGCAGGAACCTGCTTCAAAGAGGATATTATGAGAAGCGGGGTAGAGGAAGTAACCACACAATGGAGCAACCTGGCAGACATCACGCTGGCCAGGTGCTCAAGGCTGGCATCAGGGGTGAAAAGTCATGGACAGCATCGATTGGGATGGAGATAGCAGTCCACCTCTGCGGTCCCCCTGACATCAAACCTGCAGCCCTGTCTCATCATGAGAAAAACATCAGTCCAACCAATGAGGGACGTTCTACAAGATACCCAACCCAGCACTTCTCAGGACTGTCAAGGTCATCATGAACAGGAGAAGCTTGGGAAAACCTCAGCTAGAGAAACCAAAGAGACAGGACAATGAATACAGATTCCTGAACAGAATCCTGAGCTGGGAAGTGGACATCCATGAGACAACTAGTGAAATACAAAGTATGGCATCAATAGAAACAGACCAATCAATGTTTGTTTCTTGATTGTGACACAAACGTAGGATAAGAACAAAGCAGAGGGGCTGGCGAGGCTGCTCAGAAGAACCCTCCTGGAAGAACACTTGCCTAGCGGGTACAAGGCTCTGGGTTCCATCTCAAGCACCACAAAGGAACTTTCCCAGTACCACAAATGAACACTGCACGAGGATTTTTTATACCATCTTTCTAGTATTTCTGTAAATCTAAAACTATCCCAAAATATGAAAGTCTATTTAGGGGTGGGATAGAGATTTCTCAGTATATACTTTTTTGTATGATTTTAAATTATGAACAACATGAATGAAATATATAGAGAAATATATCCCGTTGAACCTATAGCCTTTAAGATGGTGAATGAGAACGACAAAGAGGAGATTTATTAGGGAAAATGCTAATGTTTTAAAACATAGCCTGCGAACTAAGTGAGGGCAGACATGTGGGTGTAAGGTTGCCTGTTGCCGTGCCTTCCCCCACAAGAAGCCGCCTCCGGCTGCCTGTCTGGACTGCTATGTTTTGAGTGTGAAATCTTGAAAAAACCCTTTGGCTCTGGAGGGCCTCCTGAGGCTGAGCTCTTTTGCAAGCCCCTGGCCCTCCTTTCTGGGCGCTTATTTTGCATGACTGTTTAATGACAAGCAGTGCCTCTCATCCTGCTGCATAGGTACAGGGTCAGACAGGAAGAGAGGATTGTATATCATAGATCCGAGTCCTAATAAATAAATTCAGAGGCCAATATCTCGCTGTATAATGGAGTGTGGGAAAAGAGCAATAAAGATCAGGCAACAGAGTCTTCCCAGGAGGCCAGGGAAGATGGCTGGAGTTGGAGAGAGGCTGAACTTGGGCCAAAGAGTAGGAGCCAAAGATGAAGTTGTAGGCTGCAGGCAGTGGAAATTGTGCTCTGATCATCAGAGCTGAGGTCTCAAAGGCAAGAAACTTTATCTAGAAGCTAAAGAAATGGGTTATGGGGAAACCTGCCACTTTATTTTATTTTATTTTATTATTTTTTGTCTTTTTGAGACAGGTCTCACTACACAGTTCAGGCTGGCCTTGAGCTCACTTGGTAACCTAGGTTGATCTGGAACTTGCAATGATCATCCTGCCTCAGCCTCCCAAGTGCAGGGATTACAGGTGTGCACCACCATGCCCAGTTTGTCACTTTATTTTATTTATTTATTTTATTTTAAAGAGAATTGAAAAAAAAAGAATAATAGCAAAATGCCAACAACATAGACAAAAACAAAACAAAGCAAAAACAATAGGAATGATACAGGGTTTCAGAACAAAATGAAAAGGATTAACAGTGGCTGCTATATTACATATTTTTATCTTCTTTGAAGTTGGTCAGGTTACCAGCTGTAAGAATGCAAGATTAATCAAACCATTAAAGAGAATAAAAAGTAAACTGTCACTTTATTTTAAACATAAAACAAAAGTCAAACTTTTAGCTCTCATCCTCCATTTTGTCCCTTTGATGTCAGCCATTTTATGAGCCCGGATGATGGAAAGTGTCCAGAATGAATGGGAAGGTTGACACGATCTGATCTTTGCTTGCTGTGTAAAGTCTCCCCACTGTATTGTAGGATTCCTTCTCCTTCTACCTGGATCCTTTCCTGAGTCAGAAATGTTTAGATGGTGAACCTAAGTGACCTCCAACATCTCTTCTACTTCTAAAAGCCTGTGAAACATTTTTTTCCGATGAGGACTTGGATTTCATAGTTAAATCCCCTGAGAAGAACTGACAAGGCTGAGATGGGCTGTTTGGTATAAAATTTTAAAATGAGAATCAATGGTACTTAAAAAAAAAGTTTAAAGGAGGAAAAAAAAGAATATTTGACAGGCTGAAAATTTCTCCCAGGTTCTCCAAGTCAACTATTATGGGTGTGAAACCGGCCACTGGGAATAAAATGTGAAAACAGGAATAGATCAATTAGATGACTATTTGAGGTTCAGATTTCATAAGCTCAAAAGTACTCTTCGGTCTTCGGAGAAGACAGATAATACGGAAGAAGCTGAAAGTTTTTTTCCATGCAGAGTTTATTTTCGCAAACACCGTTATCCATTGTAGAATTAACAGTCTTTGCTGAGAGACTATCTCAATGATATATTTCAGGTAGTAGTAGAATATTTTATGCAATCATGTCTCCCCTTGAGGAAACCCATCCAAAGCTCAAATGATTCACACACAGAAAAGTTCACAGAGTTATTTGTGTCTGAACTCAAAATTCTTGGGAGACACATTAGCTTGTTTGATAAAGCAGAAAGAACGGTGCTCTTATGCGAGAATTTTAATACAGGAAACATGAGTCTAGTCTATATCGTTTTAAGTCCCTATATATGAGGAGGTTTTGAAGTAAAATGCCATTTATTGCCCTAAAAACATAGCTTAAAAAAACACACATTTGAAAATACTGCCAACAAAGACGGTGAAACCGAGTGATTTGTACCATGCTGAGTAAATAACAAAAATATATGCAATCAAGTAAAGATAACAGACCTAACGCAAGACGTTGAGCAACCAAGAATCAGGTCAAGGATATTTCCTTGTGAGAATCATTTCCCCCTCTTATACTGGGGACCAAAGTCAGAGCCCTCACACTGAGCTACATCCCCAGTCCTTTTTATTTTTCACTTTTAATTTTAAAATAGGATCTCCCTAAGTTGCCCAGGCTGGGGAAAAGCTGCCCTTTGTTTGTCTCACCTCAGGTAAAAATCATTCTCAATTCTCCTAAATGCACTAATTTCATAATTAAAACGTAATAGTACATACGACATTGTGTAGCAAAAAGCAGGGTGAATAAGAGGCTCAGAACTAGTTTGACAACTTTTCCGAGATTAGAAGAGGGAAAAATATCACTTTACAGATCTGACTTTTCAGAAGGCAGGCATCAGCGCTCTGTAGAGACAAGGGCAAGACCAGGCAGTGCACAGGGAGGAAACGCTTGGGCCGCCGCCACCCCCTGTATCCGGGCCCCCAGACACCTCTTAGATAACGAGTAAGTCACACTGCAAGGCAGCCTTTGGGACCATTTGGATTATAAATATTCTCCCAGGCTGCCTTTTAACAAAGAGCCACTTGGGGAGCTAGGCATCTGAAGCCCTTCCTTCTCCCATTGGATAACGTTTAGGAAAATAATCTAGGGGAAGGTGTAGCAGGAAGAAAGAGGGAGGGAGGCTGGAGGGAGGGAGGGAGAAGGGAAGGATGGAGCTTGGGGCGGAGGGGTGATGTCGCACTGTGAAGAACGGGAACCTAAGAAGCTGCTGAAAGGCAGCTGTGCCCTGGGCAGTAAGGGCCTCATGCACCCCCGAGGAGTAGAATGTCAGCTACAGAATAAACGCAGGAAGCACACGGGCAGCAGTAAGTCCGTTCTCAGACCGGAGCTGCCCCGATAAATTGCATTCCTTACCCAAAGAAGATAAAAAGCAAAGGAGCGAACAGAACGGAAAGGGGGCACGTGGCGAGGGAGTGAGACGTATCACCATTTTCCTAAGGGGAAAATGGGAGCAAGTAAAAAGTTTAAAAGAGGGGAACAAGAAGAGGAGAGAAGAGAGAAAAGAAAAGCAGAGCTCATGACAGTGTCTAACAACCCAAGTCCAGGGGTTTTGTCTAAGCTTGAGACCCAGAAGGTTAACGCAGTGAGGACTCCTTAGAGAAGCAAGCATCCAAGACGAGTTCCAGGGAATAAATCTCAGCAGTCTGTCAGCCTTCTGGCAGCCTGGCTGTCCTTGGTGACCACAAGGTCCTCTGGCCCACTGTGAACCAACTGCCACTGACCCACACCCCACTTTAGGGAGGGCGCCACTCTGTTCTCCTTCATTTCATGCCCTTTAAACTCATCTGAAACCCTCACCTTTGCTCTACTTTCAAAGCTCAAGATTCATTTTTCTGAAAAATGACCTGCCACGGTAGCACATAGTTTTTAGAAATGTCTGCCCAACACGAACAGCACCAAGCAATGAGATTGAAACCTCCAAAGTAACATTATGCTGCCACCCCCTCCCTCTCCCGCTGCCTTGCCAGAGTGTGGGATGTCTGCCAGGAAAATACAATAAAATGTGGGAACAGGAATAAATAATAATTAAAATCTAAATTATGTATCTTTGCTTGCTTAGTTTTCTCCTTTTTAAATTTTAATCCTCTTTTGTCTCACTTTCCTCATACCATGTTAGTTTTTACCCAGCTTTCTTTTGGCCTCCTGTGTTGATGATGTCTGTATCTTTGTTTTCTCTTTCTAGTTTGTCCAATAGCTGAAGTGAGCCAAAAAGTTCCCTTCCTGGGTGTACACCTCCTAGCAGTCCTCTGCTGTCTGACAAAGGAGTGTCCTAACAGTGGCGAGCAGGAGCACTTGCCACGCACAGCGCCGTTCCAGGGCTGGGGCCCAGGCGGAAGAAAGCTGGAGTTTGTGGTTGGAGCAACATGGTTTGGGGGGAACGGTGCTGAAAACCTGGTCCCCCAAAGCTATCGGTACTGAGAAGTGGGACCTTCTGGGAGCCTTGTTATACAAAGCCAACCTTAAGGTAATGCATTAATCTATGATTCAGTTTATTGGGCATCTGGGGAGTGGCTTTGTTAGTAACGTGGGCTGCCTCTGAGAATCTTGCTCCATGTCACCCTGGGATCCCGCCATAAGATACAGAAAAAAGGCCCTCCCTGAATACTGGCACCAAGCTCCTTGCTTTCCCAGCCCAGAGTCATGAGCTAAAAATGCTTCTATTCTTTATCATTTACCCACTTTGAGGTATTTTTTTTATAGCAACAGAAAACAGATCCAAAAATGTTTCTATTCTTTATCCTTTACCACTCTCAGGTATTTTGCTATAGCAACAGAAAATAGACTAAGACAGAGGGGCTGACAAACTCCCTAGACTCTCTGTCTTTCAGAGTTCTCTGGAACTGCAGCTGTGTCTGTCACCGCTAGCTACTGAGCTCAAAAACACTGATACCCCTGCACCAATGCATTTCTTACTCCCTTGGCAAGAGGGATACACCTGAGCCCTCCCTGGAGCAGTTCAAGTCTGCCAGTGAATCCATTTGAAATTTGCAACCTCCCAGGTCTTCAGACTCCTTTATCTGTATTATACCACAGCAGCTCTAGCATTTCTACCTCTTTCTCCTGAGCCATTTTCCACATGGTCCCTAAGAACTCATGCATGATTTATAAGAATCTTTGCTACAAAGTTGAAAATGATTAGAGAAAAGTATAACAACTCCAACGTTATGTCTGCATGCTTCTTTTCTAAAGGTAGTGATGGGTAATGATTCTTCTGAATATCAAGTAATACAGCTAGTAGGTGAACAAACTCTAGGATATAAAGGACTGGACTCATATTACAGATTTTAAGCAAGTTGCTTCTGGCTTATGGGGTGGCGTTATGTACGGACAGCTACTACCTGCTTAGTTGTGAGGCTGAGTCCCCGTCGGGGTAAGAGTGGGAGAAAACTGGTGTTAGGAGAAATCCTGGATCAGTAGAAACTGAAAGGGCCCACGGGTTTCAGACAGAGTCTTGCAGAAGCTCACCCTGCGGGCCTCGGTGGGAAGGACCTAATGTGGAGAGCACAAGGGCTCCTTCGCTCTGGTGCACAATGATATTATGGTTGCCATGCAATATTTGAGATGCTCACCCTAAAAGACCATTTATTATTTATCTGAAATTCAAATTTAACAGGACCTCCTATATTTTATCTTAATTATACACAACCACCACAGCATGCTTCGTTCCTATGGAGATCCAAAAGCAGCTACTCGTTTGTCAGCATAACCTATAACTCACCCAGGAGAAACTCAAATTTCACCTCAGCTCCAAAGTGAGAGGAGGGTTATGAAGTCCAATTTCTGGTCCCTGCCAGTCAGTTTCAGGGACTCTGATTAAGTCATATATTACAAGGAAGCCTCTCATTGCCCCTAATTCAAAATAGCTGGGCCATCCTTTCCTGCCAGCCAAGTCTCCAAGTAGAAGCCTCCAGAGGAGACAGAGCTTGAAAGGAGGGCAATCAGGGGACAGCTTTAATATAAGCAAGGAATCTCTTAATGTGCTTGTGGAAATGCTCTTTATAGGCATCGGGTTACAAAGCCGATGAAGGGAGCTCTGAAGAAATCACTACAACATTGGAGGATCAAAGAATTTAGCCTGTCAAATGCTGTGATATTTTTTCAATGAGGAAACAAGCGCACATTTTTCCCTTGAGGGCATAGAGACAAAAGCCAAGGTTCAACTGAAAATTTTTGACTTTTTTAAGCTGCCAAACCATGTCTGTACACATATGCTTGATTCTACTTACCCCACATCCCAGCCTGAGTCTTGGAAGGAGAGGAGAATGTTTTATTTTGAGGCTATAAAGGTCGTAATCAGGTGAATCTGGCCAGTTTGGAATGTGTAAAAGCATTCGTTTGGTTCTTGTAAGTTTGGCAAGTTTACCAGAGCTCATCCTAGCCATGCGGAGGGTGTTTTATGTAAACTTTAAGGCACTGCAGGGCTGGCCACGGGCTCGCAGGTACTCAGCCATCCTTCCTGTCTCGGATTTGTTTTGCTTCTCAAAAGCCTCTATGCACTGCACAGAGTTGGAGAAGAGGACGTAGGGCTGGAAGATGAGACAGGGAAGAGGCTGAGAGTGTGGGAAGAAGATCGCAGTGAGGGGGTGGTTTTGCTCTTTTGGCCAGAACCTAGGTTGTTTCACTTCATTTTCCGGTGGACAATGCTTCTAAGAATTTGGATGAAGGGGAGAGCAGCAGTGAAAGCGAAGTGCAGGTGAACACACTATGGGATAAGACGAACCGGCTCAGAGTGGTTCCGTCTTCTTGTCTGCTGGCCATGACCACCTTAGCCACGCTAAAGAAATCAACAGCAGATAACTTCAAAATGTAGTCTCCACGGCAGGCCCCATGTTTGCCTTCAAATGAGATTCACAGTATCTGTTCTAGCCTGATGTTTACCAGAATAGTTCTTTGAAAAATAAGAGTTTTTGAAGCACAGCGGTGCCCACGATCTGAGGCAGCTCTGTGGAGGTGGAGGGCACATTGATAGCATAGAGCAAAAGTGATGCTTTTGGTCTTTCAAACACGAGGACAATCTCCTGTAGCCGCGAGAGAAGGGAAAGGTGACAGTGCTGTTCTTGAGGCTGAGGGTTCTGTGGTAGGTCAGGAAGACACCGAAAGCAGTGTGCGTAGAGAAGGTTGCATAGACTTAGGGTTAGGGGTGTGGGGGGTTGTTATGGGCTTAGGGCTAGAGTCCTGGGGTTGTGCCGCTAGGTGCAAATGGGAGTGCAAAAGACGAATTCAGCCCTCTACTCTAGAAAGTCCCTTTTTCCTTTTTCTGACTATTTTTTTTTATAAACAAAGACACAGTTTACTTTTAGAAAAAGGCATAAATCTAAAGTGCAGAACTTGATGAATTTTTACAAATGTGGCCCTGCAGCTACCCCCATATTAAGGTACAAAAGGTGATTAAACACACAGTGAGTGCTCAAATTTAAAAAAAAATTATTACAGTAAAAGACACATTGACATTAATCCTCTTTAAAATACTCCCCTTGACTTCAAACACCTTTTCATTTCCTGCAGCAGTTCACAGCAGCTCTGGAAGCCCTCTTTTGTGTCTTTATAAGGCATGATAAAAAAAATACAGTGAATGTTGACCCAAAATATTATGGTGTGTCTTCACACAGCTTATTCACCAGATCTGGCACCATGTGATTTCTGGGTCTTCCACAAAGTCAACATGACCACAAGAGGTAAACATTTCGAATCAGTTTAGAACCCGGAAGCAGCCAAACAGCACAACTAAAGACCCCAACGAACCAGGACTCACCATATTTTTTTGATTGCTCACCTTGTAGAGCAGTGTATGGAGTTCTGGAACGACAAAACAATTCAAAAAGTACAACAGTTCCATATTTTTAAGTGCCAGAATAGCCTTCATTCCTGGCCTGGCCCAAAGAAGTAGCCATCTTAAATTTATTATGGTAAAAGTCTACCTTAACTTTGTAATACCAGGCCACGCAAAAACAGCTGAGAATTTTACTTTCACCTTGAGCAGAGTCCACACCATCCCTGTGACAACATATCAAGCCCTAGCCCTCCCAAGCCTAGAAAGTGGCAAAGAGCTTAGCAGGAGAGTGGTGTAAGCAGGGACAGGAAGCTTGGAGATGGAGAGGTGAAGTTTGCAAGACTCCCCGTCCTTCAGAAGGTCTGAAAAAGCCTTCTCCACCTGCTCACCACTGTTCATTTCTTTTTCTTTTTTTTTTTTACTTTTTTATTTTAAAGAAAATAGTACAAAAAAAATAGCAAAATACAGACAACACAAAGCAAGGACATTAAAAATGATACAGGGTTTCAAACCAAATGATAAGTGATTAACAGTGGTTGTTATATCACATATTGTTATCTTCAACAAAGTTGCTCAGATTAGGAGATGTAATAATAGAAGATTGATCAAATCATTAAAGGGAATAAGAAAATAATAATTTAAAAGAACATTAGAGACAATACACAGTGTTACTAGGCAGGATTGCAGGAATTCACCAATGGATATTATACTCCAAATTGTTGTTGTCACATAAATTGCTCAGATTACCAGATACAAACATACAAAATTGGTCAACATATTAAAAAAAAACTTTTAGACATTAACTGTTCCCTTCAAGAAACCATCAGACACCAATAGCACAGTTATGCCACTGATCCATAATATATAAAATAACTTAGTACTTTCTTTTTCTTCTTTCCCTCATCCAAGTTGTTTCTTCCTTTGAGTGCTTTCTTTCCCTTTCTTATTATCTATTGTACATTTTGGGTTTCATTTACTCTTTTATGTTCTTACCCAGGGAGACAATATGATGTTTACACATGTGGGCCTGATTTATTTCACTTATGAGTATGGTCTCTAGTTACATCCATTTACCTATAAAAGCCTCGAGTTTATCTTTTTTTATAGCTGACTAATACTCCATTGTATAGAAATACCACAACTTTTTTATCCATTCCTCAGTTGATGGGCATTTGGGTTGTTTCTAAGATTTAACTATGACAAATTGCAGCACTATAAATGGGTGCACATATATCACTGTGGTATGATGTTTTTAATTCTTCTGGAAATATACCCAGAAGGGGAATAGCTGGGTTAAGTGGGACATCTAATCCTAGTTTTGTGAGGAATCTCCAGACTGATTTCCACAGTGGTTTCACCAGTTGACACTCCCACCAGCAGTGAAGTGTTCCTTTTCCCCCACAGCCCCTCCAGCATTTGTTATTGGTTGATTTCTTAATGACAGCCATTCTTTCTGGGGTGAGATGGAATCTCAGTGTTGTTTCAATTTCCATTTCTCAAATGACTAATGATGTTGAACATTTTTTCATATATTTATTCAGCATTAGTATTTCTTCCTCTGAGAAGTGTGTGTTCATCTCAGATGCCCATTTTTGGATTGGGTCATTGAATTTTGGGGTCCTACTATTTTAAAATTCTTTATATGTTCTAGATAGGAGTCCTTTGTCTGAGGGGCAGTTGGATAAATTTTTTAC